ATCAAATTTGGCAATTTGGTTTATTTCATACTAAGCTATCAATATTTCAATTGAAAAAACACACCTCAACACCTTCCCCGTAGCAGCAAACCTAACTACTCACTAAAATTAATGTTATTTAAATAGGAAATAAATCTGAAAATTTATAGGGAATATTTTAGTAGAAATCAAGCTGGGTAAATGGAAATTCGCTTAGTATGCAGGTTTGCTGCGACGGGGGTATTTATGATTGTTAGATATCTTGATCTAATCGTTATTAACAATTCCCTCACTCCGGACTGCTCACCCTTACTACTTCCTTCACCACTCCCTATGTCGTAGACCTGTTTGCCCTCCTTCCTTATACTATTTCAGAATTGCAGATACATAAATGCCACAGACGATTCCCACACTCTACACTGCTATCCTTACAACTTCCATCCCCATTTCCTACGTCATGGACCTGTTTTCCTCCCTTCCTATTACATTTTAGGATTGCAGATACCTTAATTTAATCGTCATAAACAGTTCCCACACTCCAGACTGCTCGCCTTTACTACTTCCTTCACCACTTCCTATGTCGTGGACCTGTTTTCCTCCCTTTCCATAGCATTTAAGGATTGCAGATACCGTAATCTAATCGTCATAAACAGATCCCACACTCCACACTGCTACCCTTGACTATAGAATCGAGTAATCTTCAGTATAATCTTTGCTCAATAGTAACAACTGATGTTTTTCCTTTTGTACTGTATTTTGTTTTGCTAGTATACTGTGGATAGACAAATTACAAGTCTTTTGTTTACTTTCTCCTTGTTATTTAATTCAGCCAACATGGTTACCTAGCAACCCATAAGACTAATGTTAAAAAAATGTGATTTTCAGTTTCATTTTTCTACGTAATTAGATTTTTGTTGGCAGTTCTAACGGCAGTAAACTCGTTTTTAGGCCAGAAATAAACTTTATACAACATTTGAAGAAAATCGTCGGAGCCGTTTTCGAGATCTTGGTGCAAGCATACATACATACATACATACATACATACATACATACAAGCAAACTTTGCTCGTATTAGAGTATAGGATTATTTAGCTAAACGCAATGTATTTTTTACTCGAGTTAATATACACAAATCTTAATTGTTCGTTCGATGTCAAGATGAGGGCGCCGTTTTATCTTTAAGGCGAGTGCACAGGGGGACACGTCCCCCTGGTCTAGCCCGGGCCTGGGTGAAGATGAATAAACTATGAATATTGAATGAACTGTGACAGCTATATTACTGACAGAGAATAGCTATATTGTTTATCCCAAGACCAATTATTAAAAGCCCAACCCCAATATTCAGATACAGCAGGCTATATCATTTCAATCAATTATCTCAATTCTATGAGACAGCGTGCACACATAATTGTAATGAGGGTGAGTGCAGCATGGAGTGAGATGATCTGTTGCCTTTGTTGCTGATTGAGATATGCTGTTTGTTTCGTTAGCCAGGATCACCTTTTAAAAGCCGATGATACTGCACAGCTGCGTATTCATTTTTGAACCAAGCTACTGACTTCTCTCAAGATCAAACTGGTGACCTTCTGATTACTATATATTTTTCCTACAGTCACCCGACAAAGTTGGCTTCCTTGTACTGTTTATAGTACAGAAAGCTGCTAATTGCTGCATATTTATACTTTGCCGTACGGTTTATACTTTGCCGTACGGTTTATACTTTGCCGCACATCAGGATTCCAACGAAACAACACAAAACAGCGTGGTTCTATTATGCACGTAATCCGTGTACGCTTGGAAATAGGTTGGCAACACTTAAAGATAATAATACTATGAGCAGCTGATTGACTATTATAACTACGATTTAACCTGTCATTTCGTGTTTATAGTTTCGGTATTTCTGAACTTTCTGGACTTTTCTTTTAAACGTTTTTAAAACATTCCTACAATCTTAATAAACAAGAAAATACCTTTAAAGCATTTTTTTAGGCGCGGAAACCACTTACATAAGAAACTTAATTACAAAAACATACGGAACTATATTCTCAAAACGCGGAGCACATTTCTTGCCGAGGAAAAATAGCGGAGTGATACGGACCGCGGGTACTACTTTCTCTAAGGCACGTGTGCAGCAAAGTGCCACTTTCACCACTAGTTACACAAATAACTATTCTGTTCACAAATTTTAGGCGGATTAAGGGGATGGTTACCTGGGTCCCCCACCAATATTTTTAGCTAAATGTATATCAGGTGTCGGCTGTTACTGTATTTCATAGTTGGAGTGGAAGTAGTGGGAATATATTCGCTTCCCCTCAAACCGCCTAAATTTTGTGAACAAAGTATAGGCAAACACTAACCACTCAGCTAGCCTTCCCAGCTATAAGATACACAGTTGTACAGTGTCTAATGGGAAACATTGACCTATAGTTGTACAGGATTCCGAGTAATGGTCTGTAACAGGGGCGGTTCCAGGGCTGAGTTTCGGGGGGGGGGGCATTACATGGGGGTCACCGGGGGGTCTGGGGGGTAAAAGAAATTTTGGAAAATTATGTGCTGAAATTAGCGTTTTTAAAGCTATTTTGAGACCCTAGCTTTAAGATAAAAAAAAATGTAATATTTAAGGTTGTTGCCTTATCCTACTAATATTATAAATGAGAAAGTTTGGATGTATGGATGTATGTTTGTGACAAGTGAACGCGAAAAATACTGGTCGGAATGGGCTGAAATTTGGCATGATGATAGCTCACATTCCCGATTAACATATAGGCATATTCTTATTTCAAAAATCCTTTCGGGCTCCGCCCCAGTGGCTCTGGAGTTTCCCATGTTAAACTTATGAGAAATGGAATTATTGAATCTTAACAGCTGTTTCAATTAAACAAGTTGGTTCTCTTCTATGATGTTCAATAGCATTAAAGTTACAAGGATTACCAACAGGGTTCAGCACTATTATTTCTTTTACATTTATGACAACAGCTAATTTGCAACCAAAAGGTGAGTGAGCGTAGCGAACGAACTTCAACCTGGAGGCGAGTTAGCGTAGCGAACGAGCTAACTTGAAGGCAAGTGAGCGCAGCGAACGAGCTCCAACCTAAAAGGTGAGTGAGCGTAGCGAACGAGCTCCAACCTAAAGGTGAGTGAGCGTAGCGAACAAACTTCAACCAGGACGTGATTGAGCCATGCGAACGAGATAATCTTGAAAATTAAGAAGTTAAACGGGGCAAAGCCCGCGGGTTACAGCTAGTTAAGAATAATTGTGGAATTTCATGAACATTTCTTCAGCAACAAAGTGCAAACATTTAAACTCGAACCTAGTTTTAGGTTAGGTTTATTGATACAATTCAAGAAAAGTGTATAGCATAGGCATGAATTTGGTTATGTGCAATAAAACTTCTTGACCACCTGGTGCCGACTTGGGCAGGGATATACGGATGGCGCATGTAGTGGTTCCAGTGAACTCATCAGACATGTTGAACCTATTGAAAGCCTTTATAATCTATTCCTATTTATCTACCTCTAACTTTGCACATAGTCGTCCTAGACTAGGTCCTAGTTAATTTTTTGAGGTTATGTACACAGATTTAATAGGCTACTTTTAAAATATCCTTAAATGCATATGGGAGCTCAATAATTACAATTGTATTGCGTTGAAAAAAAACCTCTGCAAAATGCTTGTAAGGTATCAGCTTGAAACATTTTTTTCAGGCTTGGCTAATTTAGGAAATTGAAATTGTAGGTTCAATATGGCTCCCATATGGTAGGTTCAATATGGTTGTCCATTGAATTCACCGACAGAGAACTATAATCTATTAAAGTTGTGCTTATCATTACTGCATTATTACTACCCAAATACTGACGAAGAACCCATAAATAACCAATCACAATGCAAGGGCTGTAGTAATAATAGAGATCGATGGTCACATGGCTTGATGGTGATGAGTCATCGATGTGTACTACTCGCCGGCCTAAAAACATTACCCGTTTAACTACGAGCTAGCGGCACCGCGCACCTGTGGCGAATGTGTGTGGCCCAGGCTAGTACAACTTGAGTACGACGATGACTATCGCGCTCTCACTCCCATACTATTTTCCGCGTAAACGCCAGCTCCGCCTTACCTGTGCTACCTATTCTTGTCCTACTTGATAGCCTACTCACATTAAAAATTTTAAAAATAAATTATTATGGTTGGAGTTTAAGTTTGTTTATCTACATTCTCGGGGGGGGGGGGGGGGGGGGGGGCATGGCCCCCTCTCTGGAACCGCCCTTGGTCTGTAACTTTTTTGAAGTTCCAAGCTCTACCCAGATGTCATTGAATTGATTGACTATGTTATTGAGTTACTTTGATATATTCTAGTAAAAAACATGCATTGTCCTTGTCATTTGTTATCGAAACCATAAAATAAACCACGACCCTTAAAAATCAAACCTAAAATTAGGGAAAACATTTTAGTCGTCTCAGAAAGACACAGCTATAACGTCACAGACATCAGGGAAGTAATAGGGAATAAACAAAGGCATACACTGCACATAAATCAACTTAAATTGTTCTTATAAACTAGAAAGATGATGATAAAATAATATAACAGAGTATAGTATTTAATCGATGATTTTACAGAGTGCAAAATATGTCTATGGTTTTTATCCAGAATTATTTTAAAAGTTGTAGTATAAAGCAGACCAAAGTCCAGTTTCGAATCATGTACAAACAAGTGTTCAGTTTACATTATTGCAATCAAATAAATGGATGTAGAATGTGTGAAGAGCTATTTATAATAAACATTGACTTTCAATAGTAAGGGATTATATTTAACCAACGCCTAAATACACCATCATGAGGAACTATTTTATATACACACGAGTGCAGATGTTTATTGGTTTTCTTTGAACCAAAAGTGAAATCATCTTCCTCTATGCAGTGCTGCAGCCTGCCGGCAACTGTAGGAACTAACCGATTGAATCAGCTGAGGGAAGAAATTGGCGTCTGTCAAACTCGGTTTGGTTCAGTTTGCTGTCTGCTCTCTGTACTCTGTGTTCGTGGTCGACAGTGTTGTTATTCGGTTTGCGTGTGTTTACTGTGTTATGAGATAGGCGTGGTGTATTTAGTAGTTTCCCATTTTTAGTTATATTAGGTTGTTTTAAAGAATTACAGCATGATGAGGCGGAACGTTAAAATGCTGCTTCTCTTCTCCATCACATGGATGTTTGTGATTGTATACTACTTCCAGTCTTCAAAGGATGATAAGGTATGTTTACGAATGAATTTCTATGTCAATTCAAAATAAATGCGATGTGGATTTGTCATACACTGCGAAAACAACTAGGCCGAATAACATTAATGTTATTCTGTATCAAGCATAAGTAGTCCCTAGCCTAGGCCTACGATGAAAAATATTTCATAACTTAGTTCAATATACATAAATCAAATACCTAGGCCAGTTTCTTTATTTTGGTACCAACAACAGTTACTAAGTTTTATTTGAACATTACAATTGAGATATGTTGTAGAAATTCTTTGATAAAAACCAATTTTGCCCTTCAATAAGCTACTACCTACATATGGGCCTAACCTCAATGGTGTTAAAACCGATCACTGTTAAAAATTATATTTTAAATAGGTAACTTAACTTAAAAAATTGCACTACTATTTTCATGAGGCTATCCGTGTAGGCCTACCGTTTCATTACTGTATACACAGCTGTTAGTTGCAGGCCGAGACCATACCGTACCGACCGAAACATTGTTAGGGCTTTGATAACTTATACGACTCCATGATCGTATTATCAGTTGTTACATCAAGTAAGTTAGGACCACCTATGGGGTTTGGTTAGTTTACGTTTAGGTATCGATTGAATAGATACTTTTATTTTTCAATAATCCAATGGGGTGTAATGTTTTGATATTTTCTAATGTTTTGCCCATTGTTTGGGTGAGTAAGGTTATTTTAGTGCATATATTTAGAACGTTTAAATGCTAGAGCCTAAGCGTTAAGCTCAATAGGCTATGCATTTTACAATTTCACTGAAAAAGATATTTTAGCCAAGAGAGTGGAGACAAGTCCAGGCCAAAGAATTTTTAAGCAAATGTGACGAACATAGACTGCATACGTACGCTGTACGGAATGCTAGGTAGGCCTGTATAAGTTTTAAATTTCAAAGTTTAAGTTAAGTTAAGCTTTTTAAAACACAGGCTGTAACAAAATCTTATTTTGGACTCTGCTAACTAAGTTACGGTAAGCGAAAGTTACTGTTGTAGTCACACCACCAAGTGGTACCTAACTAGTCTAAAATTCCCTCTTTTACTGAGACCAACTGTGGATTGGTGTGACTAAAAAAAATATCTAAGAAAAGTCCTCTGATACTTTTGTTATTTGTTAACAGATTTTACACTTGTCACTTATTTACATTATTTACCTACATACCTCCATAATGGCAGTGTGTTTAGTGGACAGTATTTAGGCCCTTCTGCTAATAGGCTAACTTACTTATAGGGTTTAAAACAGTATTTTTCATCCAAGTTAACAGGCAGTGTTCTTTGACCAGGGGTATGGTACTGTAAGTATCACCACACACTTCTAGTTTGAAAAATCAGCCTATCAGTTTTTTCTGATAGGCCCTAACCTTTTCTTGGATTTTTCACTGTTACAACCATGCTCCTTTAAACAGTAAATACACTGGAAAACAATGTATTTTACAAGTCCTAGCTACTACAAGCTGCAATTTTAGCAAATTTTTTAGAAAGAAAATATTTATCACAGCTTACTTTAGGTCCCTACTTTAGACCGTTCTTTCTACCTACTTTTAGACCCTTCTTTCACGCTAAGTCTACTTATGAGGTCATGTATGCCACTTGGAGTCAATTTTAATCAATATTTATTTCTTCCTATATCAACAATGGTTTATTGTTGAGTATATTGCCATATATGATACCGTATGGTTACACAATCATTGGTGGTGTCGAATGTAGGTCTGGCGTATGAAGTGCCAATCAATGCACAATAGCCCATAATGAGGTGTACTTGTCAATCCAGACTACCGTGCAACTGTGCAATCACCTGTACGTAACTTCTGTCTTTGTCTTCTCCTTGTATGGGAAATCAGGCCTATTGAAACGGTATTTGCTTAATATATCCCTTAATTAGGCTAGATGTCAGTAGGTATGTTGTTTGGACCTTGATTTATTGTCATTAAACTACTACTGGTATTAGAAAACAAATGGTAGAGGGTGACTATTATTTAAAATCTTTGCACTTATTCAGGCCCGCAGTTTGCTTGTAATGTGCTACAGGCCCGAGTAAAGATTTCGCACCTCTCTACCTACCTTAAAGGGTGAATTTTTTTCCTCCCTGCGAACAAAACTAAAACCTCTTAAGCTATTATAAATGCGGCCGTGTCCTTACTTCAAAGCATAAGTAAACATGTGGATCAACAATTTCATCTTAGGCTACAATTTCAATGTTAAGCCATGGTTAAGCAGTGTGAAAATTAATCTTCAGTGATGAGATAAGAACACTTTACAATCTACCAGCTGAAGATTTGATTTCAATCTTTGGATTGTTGTTTAAATACACTTTTACATTGGGTTTAGTGATCTAGGTTCATCTTATTTGCAATGGTTTAAATGGCTACTTTCTACTCCCTTCTTAGTAGGTTGGTGCTGAGTAAAGTTTTAAACTTATTGAAGCTTTAACTGATTTCTTCTGTCACTGATTAGTGAAAATGAAGTAATCTGCTGGCCAATTAATCAGATTTTCTGATAACAAAGCTACTGAAGATGCCTGAATACATCGAAACGAATCCAGTTTCCACCCCCTGTACCTGACAATTTTGTAAAATATGGAGAAAGTAAAATCGCACATGGGTAGATGGAGGGTCAGGAGACAGGGTCCATTATACAGACTAGTTCTTGTAAAACTAAGTAAGGTAACAACTAAGTAAGTAAGGTAACAACTAAGTAAGTAAGGTTGCTGACATGGATTACAGGTAAATTGATCTTTCATCGATTATCTATGAGTGATTTTACAGGAACACCCACCAAGTTGGTTAAACACTGATTTTTAAATTCGTAGTCTCTGAATCACCCTCTAAGACCTATCTAACACATCCACCAAGTTGGTTAAACACTGATTTTTCAATTCTTAGTCTCTGAATCACCCTCTAAGACCTATCTAACACGTCCACCAAGTTGGTTAAGCAATGATTTTTCAATTCTTAGTCTCTGAATCACCCTCTAAGACCTATCTAACTCATCCACCAAGTTGGTTAAACAATGATTTTTAAATTCTTGGTCTCTGAATCACCCTCTAAGACCTATCCAACACATCCACCAAGTTGGTTAAACAATGATTTTTAAATTCTTGGTCTCTGAATCACTCTCTAACACCTATATAACACATCCGCCAAGTTGGTTAAACACTGATTTTTAAATTCTTGGTCTCTGAATCACTCTCTAAGGCCTAACTAACACATATACCAAGTTGGTTGAACACAGATTTTTAAATTCTTGGTCTCTGAATCACCCTCTAAGACCTATCTAACACATCCACCAAGTTGGTTAAACACTGATTTTAAATTCTTAGTCTCTGAATCACCCTCTAAGACCTATCCAACACATCCACCAAGTTGGTTAAACACTGATTTTTAAATAGTGTCTGAATCACCCTCTAAGACCTATCTAACACATCCACCAAGTTGGTTAAACAATGATTTTTCAATTCTTAGTCTCTGAATCACCCTCTAAGACCTAACTAACACATCCACCAAGTTGGTTAAACAATGATTTTTAAATTCTTAGTCTCTGAATCACCCTCTAAGACCTATCTAACACATCCACCAAGTTGGTTAAACAATGATTTTTAAATTCTTAGTCTCTGAATCACCCTCTAAGACCTATCTAACACATCCACCAAGTTGGTTAAACAATGATTTTTCAATTCTTAGTCTCTGAATCACCCTCTAAGACCTATCTAACACATCCACCAAGTTGGTTAAACAATGATTTTTAAATTCTTAGTCTCTGAATCACCCTCTAAGACCTATCTAACACATCCACCAAGTTGGTTAAACACTGATTTTTAAATTCTTAGTCTCTGAATCACCCTCTAAGACCTATCTAACACATCCACCAAGTTGGTTAAACACTGATTTTAAATTCTTAGTCTCTGAATCACCCTCTAAGACCTATCTAACACATCCACCAAGTTGGTTAAACAATGATTTTTAAATTCTTAGTCTCTGAATCACCCTCTAAGACCTATCTAACACATCCACCAAGTTGGTTAAACATTGATTTTTAAATTCTTAGTCTCTGAATCACCCTCTAAGATATATCTATCACATCCACCAAGTTGGTTAAACACTGATTTTAAATTCTTAGTCTCTGAATCACCCTCTAAGACCTATCTAACACATCCACCAAGTTGGTTAAACACTGATTTTTAAATTCTTAGTCTCTGAATCACCCTCTAAGACCTATCTAACACATCCACCAAGTTGGTTAAACAATGATTTTTAAATTCTTAGTCTCTGAATCACCCTCTAAGACCTATCTAACACATCCACCAAGTTGGTTAAACAATGATTTTTAAATTCTTAGTCTCTGAATCACCCTCTAAGACCTATCCAACACATCCACCAAGTTGGTTAAACAATGATTTTTAAATTCTTAGTGTCTGAATCACCCTCTAAGACCTATCTAACACATCCACCAAGTTGGTTAAACAATGATTTTTAAATTCTTAGTCTCTGAATCACCCTCTAAGACCTATCTAACACATCCACCAAGTTGGTTAAACAATGATTTTTAAATTCTTAGTCTCTGAATTCCCCTCTAAGGCCAATCTTACACATCCACCAGGTTGGTTAAACAATGATTTTTAAATTCTTAGTCTCTGAATCACCCTCTAAGACCTATCTAACACATCCACCAAGTTGGTTAAACAATGATTTTTAAATTCTTAGTCTCTGAATTCCCCTCTAAGGCCAATCTTACACATCCACCAAGTTGGTTAAACAATGATTTTTAAATTCTTAGTCTCTGAATCACCCTCTAAGACCTATCTAACACATCCACCAGGTTGGTTAAACAATGATTTTTAAATTCTTAGTCTCTGAATCACCCTCTAAGACCTATCCAACACATCCACCAAGTTGGTTAAACGATGATTTTTCAATTCTTAGTGTCTGAATCACCCTCTAAGACCTACCCAACACATCCACCAAGTTTGTTAAACAATGATTTTTAAATT